CCGCACCACGCGGCTAAGCTGAGCATACTCCAGTCATCTCTGAGCTCACGCGATCCCGGACTCATCGACCAGGTCAACAAGTTGGTGAGGGAAATACACAGCTCTCGCCATGTATCCATCAAGGTTCAAAACCTTGGAGGACCGCCAGAAGAACTGTGCTTCATCGGGTTTAGCGACGCCGCCCTCGCAAATCGCCCTGGTGGCGGATCTACGGGAGGTTTCCTTCTGGGACTGATACATCCCCGAGACCTTGAGAAGGGCGAAGGTCGCATCAATTTGGTGAGTTGGAGATCAACGAAGTTGCAGCGTGTGGCTAGATCCAGTTTAGCTGCGGAAGTCCAAGCCATGAGCGAGCTCGAACAGGAGACCATGTACGCAAGACTTACATGGGCTGAGCTTCTTGGACATATCGTAAATCCCGACCGACCGCGCGAGTGTGTTGTCAAGGTGAACGCCACCCTCATCGTCGACGCCAAGGCCATGTACGATGTCCTGGAGAAAGGCGAGGTCGCTTCATCGGCTTACTCTTTGAAAGACAAGTACACCGCCCTGGAGTTGCAGAGCCTCTCACAACACATCACTGAACAAGGGACCAATGTTCAATGGTGTGACAGCGACCACCAGGCGGCGGATGGCATGACGAAGAGTCAGAAGCAAGACTCAGTACGCAAGTTCGTGATGACAGGCGTATGGAAGTTTCGCTTGGATGGAGCTTTTATCTCTGCCAAGAAGAGGCGAGCCATGCACCACGAGTCGTCAAAGACGACACGAACCTGAACTTTCGGCAACCCTCTTCGGGCTGTGTCAGTTTCAGTTGCTTTTGTGTAATTGCCTTCAGTTCAAGTTCATGCCACATGCGCATAGCCTGAGCTCTATCTGCTGCTGATACCTCTCGAGGTGCACCTTTGGCCATTGCCCCTTTAGGCTACCATTTCCAAGATAGTCTCTAAGACTAAAGCCTGCCATACGGCACTGAGAGGAAGCACAAGTTTCCCTGACATCCAGAAGCTCACGAAGGAGCCGTGGAAAAACAATCAGTCCGATTGCAGAGCACCTCTGCCCATCCGGCTTGCACATCAGATTACGAGTGGAGAAGCTACCCAGTCACTGATAGTTGGGGAGTTTCAATTACGGCTTTAGGGTTTTACGGTTGGGGGTTTAGGGCTTAGGTGTATTATACTGTACGATACCTCTATGGTTAAAACCGTCCAGGGTGAATGCCCCCTATGAACGTAAATCCTCTTGGAACCTCACTAAAACGTGAGATCCGCAGAGCAACCGGAAGTCACCTAATCCTTCTTACAGAACCCCTCCGATAGAACTCTTATAGAAATCCTTTATACTTTCAGGGTCCCCTGAACCTCCAAGTCTAGACAGGAAGCCACCGGTCGTTTCGGAATCTCTCAGAATTGTGTCCTGTGATTCAGACACATAGATAGGACCTTCAAAGCTACAATCTCAAGCTAAGACACAGCACTGCACCATGCCTGAAATCAACTCGAGCCTTCATGCATGTCTTGGTTTGATGCTTTTAAAGGACGAGTCGGATATATTCAGGACGCGAGAATGTCCTCTCCGTCCGAGACGAAGCAAGATCACAGTTGGGCCTAGCAGTAACGGGTAGTCACTTAAACAGATCAACCCTGAATCCTTCGACCATAAGACCAAACCCCTTTAGAACCATCATCAACATTACTAATACATCCTTAGGATTCCTTATTATGTCTATATTAAAAAAAGTTCGACACCCCCAAACTTTGATCCAATCAGAACCCTAAACCCTAAACCCTAAAACCCCAAACCGTAAAACCCTAAAAACCCTAAACCCCTAAACCCCAAAACCCTAAAGCCCTAAACCCTAAACCCTAAAACCCCAAAGCCGTAAACCCTAAACCCCTAAAGCCCTAAAACCCTAAAACCGTAAACCCTAAAAACCCCAAACCCTAAGACCCTAAACCCCTAAAGCCCTAAAACCCTAAAGCCGTAAACCACTAACACCCTAAACCCCAAACCCTACACCCGAAACCCCTAAACCCCTAAACCCCTGAACCCTGAGACCCCAAAGCCCCTAAACCTCTAAAACCCCTAAACCCTAAAACCGTAGTCCCCCAAAACCCTAAACCCCAAAACCAAATGGGAATGTCAGAAAACTAGGGTACCTTATTTTGGGGTCCTTATAATAAGGATCCTACTAGTTGGGGTCCTATATCAGGGTCCCCTATTTTCTGAAAGTCCCAAATAACCCTAAACCTCTAAAGCCCCAAGTCCTTCCTTGCTCTGCTGAGGAAGCCTTCTGAGCCGCGACTCCATCCCCAAGCACCCCGGAGGTTCTGCTGTTAGGGTTTTAGGGTTTAGGGCTTAGGGGTTAAGATTTACGGTTTAGGGTTTAGGGAAGTTTCTGCTTTTAGGGTTTAGGGTTTTAGGGTTTTAGGGTTTAGGGTTTCGGGATTTGGAGTTTTAGGGTTCAGGGTTTAGGGTTTAGGGTGTCGGGTTTCGGGGTTTAGGGGTTTGTGTTCAGCGTTCAGGGTTTAGGGTTTAGGGTTTTGGGGCTTTAGGGGTTTTGGGTTTAGGGGTTTTGGGTTTAGGGTTTAGGCAGAGAGTTTCGGCGGTTTACGATGTCGGGTTTCTCGCGGTTTCGTCAGGGGCTGTTTGGGTTTTCAGGTTTGAAGGTTTCGGGATGTTTCGGGCACCAAGGATTTTGAGGGATGAGAAGGGCTGTGCCATCCATGTGTGAATGTCCCTAGGACCTTCTTATTGGGTCCTTGAGGGGTCTAGGGCCCTAACTAGAAGGTCCTTGGAAGCCTAGGGTGTGAGACCAAGCCTGAAACCCTTCTCTTTCCCGGCATTGACAGTTTGGATTTGCGTTCTCTAACTCGGAACAGCGGGACAAACGACCTCAGCGGATGAGGCACTCATGTCCATCATTACCCATAGGCCCCATAGTAGTTCCTTTTGGGGGTTCATATTCAGAATCCTATAAGGTACCCGCCAAAAGGAACTACTATGGGGCCTTTGGGTAGAGCCAGAGAACACTCTTCAAGTGGTGGCGATGGTATCAGCAAGAGCAGCATTAATGTTAATCGCGCCTTGACGTGAAATCGTACACCCCGGCTGTTTCATGCAAGCAAGAAGACCTACCCTAAACCCTTCAACCCTGAACCCTAAAGAAGTGCCTGGTAGCAGAGTGGAATCTTGAAAAGTCGATACCCTAAACCCTAAACCCTAAACCCAACAGCGAGATGGGCAAGATGCAGACTTGCTCGTCAGATGCATGTTTCTAGCCTTGTGAGCACTTTGTACTCATTTTGACAAGACATCTTAAGATCGAAAAGCAACGGATCCGAAAAAATGACCGACTTGGCTGAATCGTTGCGAGACTGACTTTAAGAGATGCAAGCTCCCTCGCGTTGCAAAGCTCATTTAATCAGGTTCGCCACTCTGGAGCAGCTGAAGAAGTTCACAGCAGGCATCGCTTGTTGTTCCATTGACCCGGACCGGGCTGTTCAACAGCATGTAGTATACGATCCTACGACATAATATACTGCAATACAATACGACAAGATATAACGTAGTAAAATGAACTGCAATGAATATCTGAGGTTCAAACCTGGCCGGCCTTAGTTGAGGTCCGTGGGCAGCCGAGTTCAGAGGCTTTGGGTTCGAGGGCCGCAGGCAATGGGAAGGAACTGTCGCTATCCTGATCGTAGGCTTTTTGTAACCTCAAAATAGCCAAAAAAAAGCGGCTTTTGTCATAGACAGCAGTTCAGTAAGCCCATAGTTGTGGTATCAGTAAGCTTTATTTGTTGTAGCTTTGTTTTGGCTCGTGTCCGTCTGTGTACATGTGGGTAACTCTTGGTTGCGAGCCACTCATCTTGCAGTTTGGAGTTTGCGGCTTAGGGTGTAGGGTTTAAGGGTTTAACTAGGGTTTAGGCTTTTTGGGGTTTAGGGTTTAGGTATTTGGGGCTTAGCAGGTTTAGGATTTACGGGTATAGGGGTTTAACTAGGGTTTAGTCGTTTTATCAGAGCGTCATGCTATCAGTTCTGCAATGTCTTGCAGCTTTCAGCACGAAGCACTGCTGCTCTTGCTGACATGTCCAGCTAGTATTCAATACTATTCACCCTAAACCCTAAACCCCTAAACCGTCTTCCGACTACTTGTCGTGCTCAGAATGCCATTCCCTTGTCGACCCGCGCGACCTGGCTGTGCAACCCTAAACCCCTGAACCCAAAACCCTAAACCCCTAAACCCTGAACCCTAAACCCAAAACCCTAAACCCTAAACCCACAACCTTAAAGCCCTGCTTGCTGTCGGAGTTTGCTTTGTCTGTCCTTTGCTTTGGGCTGTGGTCGCTTCCTGTCTGTGCATGCCTGTGCCCTGTCCTAGCATTTGCCACGGTTACAAACACCGCTCCCAGTAATCGCAATGTTTATATGTAGGGCTTAGGGCTTTATGGTTTAGGGTTTAGGGCTCGTTTGCCGTGGTCGATTCACATGTTATGTTTCTGGCATTTGGCAAGCCCCCGTAAAAGGGGCGCACAAAGCCAACCTGTAAACTCTCTAAGCCCTAGACCCTAAACCCTTATCCCTTGTAAGTCTGAAGCCCTAGACATCTTGCGGCTTGCCGGCTGTGAGAAGCAACCCGAAGGTGCCGAGCACAAGAATGCCAATGCTGATGCTTCGACTTCCCTCGAGAATCTTGTCTGCACAACCCTAAACCCCAGACCCCAAACCTTAAACCCTTCAATCCGAAAGCCCTAATATATGGGCCTTAATGATTAGAACAGGGCTTTGGGGCCCGCTATACGATAATCACTATAATAATAATCGGGAGCCCCAAAATAGTATTGGTAATTATTTAGATTAACGAACCCCCTAAGTCCGAAGCCCTTCAATCCTAAACCCCCGAAACCCTAAACCCTAAACCCTAAACCCTAAACCCCCTAACGAACCGCTTTCGGACTTTGTCGGGAACACAGAAGGCATCGAGCCTGAGCCTGCCGCGAGACCTTGAACAAGACAAGCTGCCGTTTGGGTTTAGGGTTTAGGGTTTAGGGGTAACTATAGTGCATCAGGGTTTAGGGCTTAGGGTTTAGGGTTTAGGGTTTAGGGCTGAGTGTTTCGGGTTTAGGGTGTCTCCGAAAGCTTCCATTGAGTAATTACCTGGACCCCAAGTGTAGGTAGACTAGTAGCATGTTATAGGCGTTAGGCCCTTGTTGTACCCATGACGTCACGTGTCTTGCCGTCTTGCCAACACGGAGTAATTATAATAGCAGTACAAACATCAAGCAGTGCAGTACTAGCTTTCACCGTGCCAGTGAAACAACAGAACCCGTTGTGAACTGAATCTAAAATTAAAAAGGGACCCTCATTTAGAGAGTTACCCATGTACATAAACCCTAAACCAAACCGCTTGTGGCGCTTTAACGATTCCTATGTGTGACCCGCAATTTTACAAAACCCTGTGTTGCCCTTATAGAAAACCCTTATAGAATCCCTTACAGGTTTTGTTTAAGGAGCCCTTTGAAGGGACTCCTAACTCCTACTTGGGACCCGTAAAGCAATGAAGTAGGTCCTTCCCCTGAGGGTCCTAAACCCTAAACCCTAAACCCTAAACCCTAAACCCTAAACCCTAAACCCTTAAACCCTTAAACCCTTAAACCCTTAAACCCTTAAACTCGAAACGACTATTTAAGGACTTTGGGGCCTGTTGGGCTACCTAGGGTTTAGAGTTTAGGGTTTAGGGTTTAGGGTTTAGCCTTAACCCTAAAATCATAAATAAGGACTACTTGGGCCCTTAGGGTTCAGCTCCAGGAACTCGTGGGGCTCAACAGAGACAGACAAGCTGACGCGAACAGACTCTTTGCTTGGCTTTATAACATGGAGACGATAGCTTAAACCCTATAGGGTTTAGGGTTTAGGGTTTAGGGTTTAGGGTTTAGGGTTTAGGGCTTGCTTGGTTTTAGGGTTTACCTATCGTCTCCATGGTAGTTCCTTTTTGGGGTTACCTTATAGTATCCTAAATAGAGAATTGGCTAAATGAAAAAATGAACTACCATGGAGACTCTAGGTGGGGTTTGGGGTTTGGGGTTGGTTAAGTGTTTTATTGGGTTTATAGGGTTTAGGGCTCAGGGATGCCAGCTTGCAGGCATTAGGGTTTTGGCGTTCACGGTTCATGGATTAGGGCTATAGGGTTAAGGGTTCAGGGCTTGCAGGGCTTATGGATTTGATACGGTTCAGGGTCGAGAGGGCTCAGGGGACGGGTTGCTTGGAGGATTGAGCGTTTGGTTTGAGGGAATTTTGGGGGAATTCGGAGATAATAGGCGTTTGAGGAGTCTTAGTTCAGGGCCTCCGGGTTTGTGCCTCGAGCTCGGGGACGGTTGTCTCGGATTTAGGGTTTAGGGTTTCGGGTTGGGAGATTTTTATTCAGTCTTCGACTTGTGGCATCGTCCCATCCAGGGTCTCGGTGCTACTTCATTCGCGACGTCAGATTCACATTCATGTGTATTATAACGGTGCAACGGTAGTGCAGATTAGCTCAGGTATATTTGGGTTTCTAGCAGCTAGGAGATCCCCCAGAACTCCAGATACATTCTGACTAAAGCATGAGCGTGAGGCGCGCAATGTATCAAGACGCATGTACAAAGCCCATCTATTCATACATGTGCAGGCACGAGCACTCCTATCTGCTTGTGTGTACTTTCCGATCACAATAATTTGCAATAGCTGGTCATAGAAAGAGCTGTCATAGTAACATTCAACATTCACGATGAGCATAAAACTCATCGTAGGAGCAATACCAAGTATTATCATGGTGCACAAGCCCTGAGGCTCCATGTACCCATATAGTAGATACTTAAGCCTTAAAGTACCAATATAGGGACCCCTTTAAGGCCTAAGTATCTACTATAAACGGTACATGGAGCATTTGGGAAGAGTAGATTTGACCATCTAGACCTCAGTGGACTGGCAGACCGGGACATCGGCGCCTTAAGCAGAACGCAGAGAGCGCGCTCTGCGCGATGGGGCAGAAGGGGGCCCAAAGGCTCCATGTACCTTCATAGTAGATACTTAGGCCTTAAAGGAGTCCCTATTTTTTGGTACTTTAAGGCTTAAGTATCTACTATACGGGTACCTTAGGGGGGTTGGGGGTGGGGGGGAAGGGGGGTTTTCAGGCGTGTTCGCAGATGCTCTTGATTGATCAGTCTTGCATCGCTACTTGTTCCCGCTTGCCGATCATGATTCTGTGCTGTTCGTGCATCTGCACACTTGTCTCTTGCTTTTAGGGCTGTCTGCCTACCCGCGAGCCTGGCGAGCCTGTCTGCATGCATGCATTTTTGCTTTCCTGTAGTGTGTGTCTTTGATGTTTGCATAAATGTCTGTTTTGATTGTCTGCATCTGGGCCACGCGCAGGCACCATCGAGGGTGGTTGTGCATGTGTATGTGCATTGTCTTTTATGGATTTGAATGCATGCATGCATGAATCTTCTGCATGTGTGCTTTCAGTACGTCAAAAGCAGGTTCGTCCCGTTTTAATGCTCTCGGTCCGCTTTACTGCAGAGCTTTTGTGGAAAATCCTGGCCACCGAACTGCAGGACATGAACAGCACAAAGCTAGAACATGCGCACCAGGACAGACATCAACCCAATATAGGGGCAGTAATAATTACCTATACTCTTTTGGGGGTTCCTTATTATAACTATACTAGAAATGGCCCCAAAACCCTATTCTAACAATTAAGGCCTCTACATTAGACAGACACAAATGCATTTATTTAACTATACGGTATACAAGCAGAGAGATACACGGTAAGTCGAAGACTATACGAGCTCACTGAGGTGACGTTCGCTCCGGCTTTGGAGATTCTCACATACTCAGTGGCAGTGGACGAGTATGAGCACGAGGAGGAGCCCCACTGGAAGGCCATATGCTGTTGAGTTTAAACCCTAAACCTGATAAGTTTTGCATCGGAGCTTTCGCCAGCTTTAAATTTAGGCAGCCATAGAAGCATGCTGTGGGGAGCCATTGAAGCCCTGAGCCCCTTAACCCTAACTTCCCTGAGCCACCCTAAAGCCTAAACCAGAAACCCTAAACCCCAAAACCCGAAACCCGAACCGGGCAGGTGATCAGAGACGGATCCATCACAACTTGAAAGATAAGTATAAGAATCGTCGACATAACATCCGTTAGACTACCCTGAACCCAAGACCTAACACTTAAGCCCTAAGGCCCTATGAGCCCTAGTGCCAACAGGACGCAAGCGCAGGCCAAATTCTTGGAGCGCGTTCTCAAGAAAACTTGAGCCCAGGAATCCCGCGCATCACCTGCAGGGGCGCATGCAGGAGGTCTTATGAAACCATTTCTATTGGACTACGCAGAGACGTGGAAGCAACAAACTGCCAAAACTTTTACGAAGGCTTGCGACAGCGGTTTCACTTGCAGCTTGCTGGAAGCAGAAATCCCTGAACCCTAAAGCCCTAAACCCCTAGACCCTAAACTCTAAACCCTAAGTCCTTAAATCCTAGAAGCCCCCTCACCCCTGAACGCTAAACCCTACAGTAGAAGCCCAAAAGTTGGAAACCCAATAGCCTCAATCCGAAAGAGTAATGTCTGGGAATCTCAGCACTATTTGTCCTTAATCCGTTTTCCAACCTTTTTGGGGTTTACCCTAAACCCAAAACCCTAAAACCTAAACCCTAAACCCTTTACTGTAAAAGGATCGTCGACCTACGCCTTTTTCTGAAACCTGTGCTCCGGCGGAGTCATTCGAAGCCCGCAGCCTTACAGTGCACCCGAGGGGGCCCTGGGGGTTACTTTAGGGTTTAGGGTTTAGTCTAAGGTTGAACCCATCGGCCCCTAGTACCCTTGACCCTGGGATCCTTATATCTAAACCCTAAACCGTAAACCCTAAACCCTAAACCCTAAACCCTAAACCCTAAACCCTAAACCCTTACCCTATATTTACCCTTAAGGGTCCCTAGGAAGGCCTAAGGGCCCATATTAGCCTTTATAATTGGTAATAATTACCTATACTCTTTTGGGGGTTCCTTATTATTAGTTATATTAGTTGTAGTATAATATACCCCAAAACCCGATTCTCATTATTCAGGCTTCTAAAATAGGGTTTAATCTAGGGTTTAGGGCTTCGGGGATTAAGGGTTCAGGGGCAGGGTTCAAGGTTTAGGACTTAGGGGCTTTGGGTTTGGGGTTTTGGGTTTAGGGTTGGAGATGCGATACCGTACTAGGGCCATACTAGGGTATACTTTGCTAGAAGAGCCGCTTTCGGGTTGAAGCTTCAGGGTGCCTAAACCCTAAACCTCAAACCCTTAAACACCCCCATACTTGTGTTTTGTTATCAATAATACGTACTATACGTACTGGCCAACCCTTATACACCCTGATTTATGCAGACTCGTGAACCCTAAACCCCAAAGCCTAAACCCCAAAGCGTAAACCCTAAACCAAAAGCCCTAAACCCCAAACCCTAAACCTCAACCCCTAAACTAAACTCCAAAGCCTAAGCCCTGAACCCTACACCCCAAAGCCTAAAGCGCAGGCCCTAAACCCTAAACCTCAAAGCCTAAACCCAAAACCCCAAAGCCTCATGCGCAGGCCCTGGACCCGAAACTGCCACCCTAAACCCTAAACCCTAAACCCTAAACCCTAAACCCAGCCTTGGTAGCGGGCAGCGGGCCCGAACCCTAAATAGCCCCAAGGCAAGGAAAGTCCCGATTTGGAACGCGTCAACGATGTTTGTTGTTTCGAGCTTTAGAGGTTTAGGTTTTGGAGTTGTGAGGGTTTAGGGTTAAGGTTTAGGGTTGAAAGTTTAGGGTATAGGGTTTAGGGTTAAGACTTTTGAGTTTTGGGTTTGAGGGTTTGGGGCTGATGACGCACACGAATGAAATTCCAAAAGCCCGACACCTGAAAGAACCCGCAACACCCTCCCTCAAAATGTACACAGACCTTCCGCAATCCTTCAACTCAGCAATATACCTGAAATCATATCAGGGATCCTACTGTCATTTGAGGTAAATTCCTTAATTCAGGGATGTTGGAAGGTCTGGGTAGAACGGACCCTAATTTTGACAACTACCCATATAGTAGATACTTAAGCCTTAAAGTACCTATATAGAGACCCCTTTAAGGCCTAAGTATCTACTATAAAGGTACATGGGGCCTTTCTATCCATAATAGATACTTTGCACCCTCTGGGCGTGTAAGACTCCAACGAAGAGGCCGCCGTCCGGCGAGCTCGCCAGCGGCGCGCCGACAGGGACTTCTGAACCGTCTGAACCCTAAATCCCTAAACCCTAAATACACCCTAAATAAACCCTAAATAAACCCTAAACCCTAAACAAACCCTAAACCCCTAAACCCTAAACCCTGAACCCTAAATCCCTAAACCCCGAAACCCTTAGAGCGACTCCCAGAAAGTTGGAACATAGGCTTCGGAGGATTTGTGCTGGGATCCCCTATAGTTTGCCTTAAGGGCATGAGGATATTGATGTTCCAACTTTCTGGTTTCTACTTTATAGCCCCTAAACCCTGAACCCCTAAACCCCTGAATCCCTAAACCCCAAACCCTAAACCGTAAACCCTAAACCCTAAACCCCTACACTCCTGGATTCCTTTTTTCTTGAGATTTGGTGTGAGGTTGCAGGGTGCCGAAGGGGTAGAGTTTAGGGGCTTAGGCTGGTTTAGGGGTTCAGATTTAGGGGCTCTTTGAAGTGATCCTTTAAGGGTCTATAGGGTTAAGGGGCTTAGGCGTTCAGGTTTAGGGGTTCCTTTGAGGGATCCATCGTGTTTAGGTGTTTAGGATGGTTCAGGGTTCAGGTTTGAGGGTTGAGGGTTTAGGGTTTCGCAGCTGAGGTTTAGGATTGAGGGTTTGAGGTTGGAAGTTTTTTTCCGGCAGATGTTCAGAGTAGGCACACATGCACAGCAGAATGTGTTCGTTATGAGTTTATCGTTTTGTCTATACACAGCAAAAGGACACGTACACATGCATTGTAGGGTAGTGCATATTCTATACATACATGCACATGTGCATGCATGTACCCGGGACATTCCCTACGCGCCGGTCAGTTCTTCGGAACGCCCGCGACACATCTTCTTCTCGCGACCCCTTACCTTGGTAGCGTGAGCTGCAACGTCGATCTTCCGAACGTTCCTTGCACCGACCGACCCTAATATAGTGGGCCTTAATAATTGAAGCTTCAACCCCAAACCGGCTCTTCTAGCACAGCATATCCCAGTACAGTATCGCATCCTAAACCCTGAACCCAAAGCCCCAAACCCTAAACCTTAAATACTAAGCCCCTATGCCCTATAAACCTTGAACCCTGCGCCTGAACCCTTAAGCCCCTAAGCCCCAAACCTTAAACCCTAAATTAAACCCCAATGTTATTGAGGCCACTTACATACTCTCAGAAATGCTAAACCCCGAAACCCCCTAAAAGAACTTACAACGCTCCCGCAGCCCAATCCCCAAGAAGCCCCTAACTCTGCAAGTGCATTAAAAACTATCCTAAACCCCAAAACCCCTAAACCCCTAAACCCCAAACACCAAGAACCCTAAAACCCTAAACCCCTAAACCCTAAACCCATATAACCCAAAAGCCCTAAACCCTAAACCCCTAAACCCTAAACCGTAAACCCTAAATAACGCCAAGCCACATCTGCAGGAGGCGGCCAGACCTGCTGCGATGACGGAGTGCTGAAATCCGAGAAGCCGCCGCCATAAATTTCAGTTATTTTCGGGGTTTAGAGTTTATAAGGTTTAGAGTTTAGGGTTTAGGGTTTAAGGTTTGGGGTATAGGGTTTAAGGTTTAGGGTTTAAGGTTTAAAGTTTAGGGTTAAGGGTTTATGGTTTAGGGTTTAGGGTCTAATAGAGGGATCTTAATAATTAGCTATACTTGTTTCTGGGGGGTGCTCCTTATTCCAGGTATTGTAGAATGGGCCCCAAAACCCTAGCTATTCTAATGATTAAGGCCCCTATATCATAAGCACCACAATGATGCAGCGGAGTAAGGGTCTTGGATACTATACCCAACGAAGCCACTCATCGGATGGAGAAGCCATGATTGAACGACTTTTCTACCTGCAGGGCTTTTTTTGGGTTTAGGGTTTGATACCTCGCACCTTGTCTTCAAGGTGTACAGTTCATCATTTGAGCATATGGCTGTTGAGCTGCAAAGTGGACAGGGCCAGGGGGTAAGCCGAGAATCCCAAAGCACGGTCTGAGTTGCAGGTCTCTGTCGTGATTTGAAATTTCGAGTCCGACATGTAGGTGTTGAGGCTCCTTTTTAGGGTTTAAGGTTTAGGGGTTTAGGGTTTAGGGTTTAGGGAACGGTGTGGATTTTCGCATGCAGGGATCCGGCTCTTATCTAGATGCGGCGTCTTGGAAGCTGGGCAGTATTGCTACTTTGCATTGCATGCCTGAAAGCGGCAGGACCCGGGTATGTGGAGACCTTTTGTAGCCATTGCATACAAAAGAACAGGTGCGAACAATGGGGACTTCGAGAAGAGGGGGGCAACTTCAGTTGTGAAGAGTCATGCTCCCGTCTTCATGCTGTTCGAGTTAAACGTGTTTTTGTCTCGAGGTTTGCTGCTATGTGCCTACTCTTTGCCACAACATGAACCCCCTGCAATTACTAGTACTACTACTAACTATATAAATATTAATATGAATAGAAGTACTAATAATAATAATACTACTGCTACTACTACTACTAGCCACCCCCCCCC